TATATATATATGTATATATATATACATATATATATATATATATATATATATATATATATATATATATATATATATATATATATATATATATATATATATATATATATATATATATATATATATAATACCATAATTAAATATATATAATACCATATATATAATATATATAAATATATATAATACCATAACTAAATTTATATATATATATATAATACCATAATTAAAGAATTATGGTATATTATATATATATATATATATATATATATATATATATATATATATATATATATATATATATATATATATATATATATATATATATATATATATATAATATACCATAATTCTTTAATTATGGTATTATATATATATATATAAATTTAATTATGGTATTATATATATATATATATATATATATACATATATATATATATATATATATATATATATATATAATACCATAATTCTTTTTTTGTATAGCTATAAAAAAAATGAATTATGATTATTTTTCAAAAGGTGAGTAACTCTTATTGGTTCCACCAATAAGAGTTTCCATGTTACTTTTCATTAATCGCATGCAACTTTATGATTCTGAGCCTGAACGAGATTTTGAATTCATAATTTTTACAAATCTGTAATGGAAGATCAAGAATCTAGAAAAACTGGTAAAAGAGTTTTATTGCTAGGGCAAATGAAAATATTTTTTTACAAAATTTGGCTTCCGACTTATGATATCTTTTTATTTAACATTCATTTGCTCATTTTTTGTAGTTCCGGTTTGGACTTTTTAAATGAAACGAGAATATTGTGCGATTAAAAAAATACAAAAAAGAGCAATTAAACTTGGTTCATCAATTAGCAAATTTGACCCTTTTAGACAATTCAGTCGGCAAATTTAGACCCTTTAGACAAATCAGTTGGCAAATGTTGGCTAGCCAGTTTCCGAAAAATGAGGTCTTATTTTTTTTAAGTCGGTAAAAAGTGAAATGGCGACCCCTCCCCCTCACGTGACACCTACTCGCGCCGGCTCTGTTGACAACCCTCAAAAAGGTTGAAACTTCTACCTTGGAGTAGGATATGTGGTATACCTTTAGTAAGACATAATTTTCTACCTTTAGTAAGACATAAATTTCTACCTTTAGTAAGACATAATTTTCTACCTTTAGTAAGACATAATGTTCTATCTTTAGCAGGACATAATTTTCTGCCTTTAGTAAGACATAATTTTCTACATTTAGTAAGAAATAATTTTCTACCTTTAGTAAGCCATAACTTTCTACCTTTAGTAAGACATAATTTTCGATCTTTTAGTAAGACATAATTTTCGATTTTTTAGTAAGACATAATTTTCTACATTTAGTAAGAAATAATTTTCTACCTTTAGTAAGCCATAACTTTCTACCTTTAGTAAGACATAATTTTCGATCTTTTAGTAAGACATAATTTTCTACTTTTTAAGGCAGAAAATTATATTAAAAACAAATACAATTGTATGACAAATTGTCAGAAAATTGTATGACAATTTGTCATACAATTTTCTAGCTTAAAAGTATAAATTTGTACCTAAAAAGGTAGATTTTTGTACCTTACTAAACGTATATTACATATCCTACCCTAAGTTAGAAATTTCTGCCCTTTTTTTTAGAGCAAATTTGAAACATAGTACGCTTAATGATTATAATCATTAATTAATCATTAAGTCTTTTATGTTTATTTACTATGATTTAGAACGTATATTAATTACGGTCTAAACTACGTAATTTTATTTACGTACTAAATACGTAATTTTAATTACGTTCTTAATTACGTAACTTTAATTACGTTCTAAATCAAATACGTTCTTGGTTGCTTCTTTAAGTGGCTATAATACAAAACCATTTTTATGTACATAATTAAATTAATTATTTCACAATTCTAAGAAAGATAGAGCGGACAACATCAAAAGACTCAAAACCAGAAGTTACACACATCAGTGACTCAAAACAGATCCTTAAAAACAGATTTCTTTATTGAACGAATTTTTTGTCAAAAACGGGATTGGTGAAAGTTATATCTATTGATAAAAAGTTAAAACCAATAATCAAATTAGTTGATCAAAAATATGAAAAAGTATTGTATATTATATTTCATCATTTTTTATATTACAAACAAACTGCGCATAAAATTAATTAAGTATTAATAAGATAAAAATTGATCTATATATTTAAAGCCAGTGTATCTAATCTTTTTCTTTGAAACAATTGAACCATCAAAATTAAAACCATTATACAATTTATAACACTAAAGTTTATTTATATTTACTTAAAAAAAACATTTTGTCATAAAATGAAATAAAAATTTGTTCCACATGTTGCTGCAACCTCAAACAGCCTTTATAAACGGCAACCTCGAGCGCAATTGACGTTAAAGCAGTTTTGATTTTTAGGACAGGTCCAGCGCATAATTCCTTTTTTAAAATCACATTCTCCGCCTATACAACACATGCCAGAACATTGAACACCTAAAAAATATAGACTGTGATGTAACGTGTAATGGTAGATAACGGCCATAACTTTACGTAATTTTATAAAGAAACATTTTTGGTTTTAAGTCTTAGGAATTTTTAATAAACTCATTATCGCAAAACACTGTAACACCCTCTATTATCGCAATACGCTATAACACCCTCTATTAAAAGATGCAAATACTTAAAATAAAATATTTTTATATTCAAAATGACATAAAAGCTTTAGACAACATTATTATTAAATGCATATGTTTTCTAATAAACGTGCATAATATCACGCTGCCATGCACCAAACAACTAAAAAATAGAGAGTTTAAGCATATAAGCGTTATGTCGAGGCAGAGGTAGGAATACAAAAGAATTTCTCGTAAATAGTTAATAAGTCTTAGGGAAACTTCCTTTCTAACGCCTCGCTTTTAAAACTTACGCTAGACATCTTATTTCTTACCACAGCTCTGTTAAGAACTAAGATTTCTAGCGTAAGTTTTAAAAGCTGTGCACAGCGACATGAATAACTAATGAGTTTAAAACTCATGCTTTTGTTTTTAATGATTTGTTTTAATATTTTTGAGGTTAACGTCTATCTAACTCCCAATGTCAACTTTAAATTTAAAGTAAACTTGGATGCAGATTTTCAAGTAAGATCGCTTTGATTGATTTCGGAATTGATTTTTCAGATTGTTTTCGGAATTGAAATTTGAATTGTTTTAGGAAATAGTTTTAACTTAAAAATAAGTCATGAATAATTAATGATGAAACGCGCGTGTTGAATGTTTTTCCCACTTTACTTTTTTTAAATTTGCGGTGGCTAGCGTTTGTACTAACTTCGCTTGATGATAACGCGTGTATGCTTAAACTCCATAATATATAAACTAGAACTCTTTACATACCAAAAAAAAAAATTAGAAAGACTACTGATAGTCTGAATAAGATAAAGTAAAAAGAAGTAAACAAAATAGAAAACAAATGAGACGTCATCATTATCATCATAATTATCATTATCGTCATTTTTTTACAAATAATTTTCAAATGGAAAAAGTTTCAATTTGAAATTAAGCAAATAACTTTTATGTAATAATTATCAATTTCTCAAAACAAAAACTCGGAATAATTGCATATAAATATGGTTTATTATTTTGATTATTCTTTGTTCGTAATTGTGATCCAATCAAAAACTGTCCAAAATTTGAGAATGGAATCTTCCTTGGAGCGCTCAAATTAATTGCTCGCCACAATAAAACGTTACAAGATCATATAAAACTTATTGCTAAGCATTAAGCAGAAGAAAAACGCATGCAAGGTCATTACTTATTCTGAAAATCAAAGAATTATTTTATCGAGGAGTGCGCCAAATTAGTGGTTTGAGAAATTATTCGAGAAAGTAAAAAAATCAATATATTTCATCATCATCACTGACAGCACTCCCAATTCAGTCCACAGGGAGTAAATTACTTTCTTTTTTTTTTGCATTTCAGCGATAATCGGCTGGGGAGGTCAAAGAAAAGTTTTTTAAGCTAGAACAACTTGAAAAGAAAAAGGTATTTGATATAACAAAGTTGATACTGAATGTGTTGAAAAAGAATGAGCTCAACATAAAAAATTATCTTGGTCAAGGCTACGACAATGGCGCTAATATGACAAATATTTACAATGGAGTTCAAGCTTTAATTAGACAGAATAATCCAAAAGCAATTTTCATTCCATGCTCTGCTCACAGTTTGAACTTATGTACAGTACACGCTATTGAATCGTCGGCTCCTGCAAAATCCTATTCTGAAAATATTCAAAAGCCATACAATCTGTTCAGCTGCAACCCATTTCGTAACAAAATTATTCAGGAGGAGACAGGCCAATCATTACATAAGCTTTCTGTTACACAATGGAGCTCAAAGATTGAACAGTAAAGTGACTAGCAATAAACCCAAGAGAGTTCTGTAAATCATTGCATCATCTAAAAGAGTTAAACCTTTCAGGTGAAAGTAGGAATGAAATACATTATCTAATTAAATGGATGAATTATTTTGAAATTTTAGATTCGACAATTTTTTTAAAAATACAGTTTTGAAAAAACACACGTTATATGTTACAAACTTTTCAGTTTGTAGTCATTTACAAACTTCTTTTTTTTTTTCAATTTATTAAGTCGCTCCAAGAAGATCCAGCGGTGTTTTTTTACTTTTTTACATGGTTATTACGGTACTCTGCAAAGATCTAAGGGTTATATTATAGAACTGCTCATCTTGCCACAATGCATTCAATAATGAGATTTGTAATGCGTTTTTTACCAATGTTGCATACATGGCTAGAGCAGGCATTTAGCATTGTTCCTCTTTATTCTAAAGACGGGGCAAGATGGCGCACGTATTGAAATTCCTGAGTTTCTGCAAAACTATAAGTCATGAAACAATATTACTTTGTCATGATTATGTTATCTTTGTATGATTATGTTATCATAATCATTCATTGTGTCGATGAATTTTTAGTCTGTAAGAAGAAAAATTTGAAATAAAAATTAAAATAAAAAGTTCATAAATTTGTCATCTGGTCGCGTGATTGGAGGAAGATGGCTTATTATGCAGTTTCAGCCTCTAATTTTATAAAAATTTAAGGTGGTACATACCTCAAAAAATTATATCATAAAATATTGGTTCTTTTTTTATTGACTAAAATAAAATTACAAATTAAAAAAAATTAAAAAAATTCAAAAAAATAACTATTCTTAAAAATAATTAGGGAAATACCCTAATTATGCAGATTTTTTGTTCCAATATATCTTTTACATCAAACTTTGAAAACTAATCAATAATGGTGCAATACATGTTTTGAACTAAAAAAAACTTAATAAATCAAAAGTATAACTTCAATTTTCGCAATTACAGTAATTAATTTTCCCTAAAAAGAAGTACAAAAATGCATATGAAAATAAGAAAAAAAAAAAAAAAAAAAATATAAATATATATATATATATATATATATATATATATATATATATATATATATATATATATATATATATATATATATATATATATATATATATATATATATATATATATATATATATATATTTAGTTCGGAACATAGACTTTTATGTAAAGAATGAATCCTGAAAATTTCAATAAATTTGACAAATCAGATTTTCAGTTATTTTCAGTTATTTAGGATCAAAGTAAAAATGTGAATCTGAAATCTCATTAAAAGAACTTATCTAAACAATTACTATAAAATTTAAGAAGTTCCAGAAGCATACATTTCACCTTCTGTAGCAATATTTCTATGATCGGTAGCAATATTTCTATGATCGGAACCCTTTTTTATTACTCTGAGCATTTTTTTTTCTCTTTTTAACAATATCACTGGACATTTTAAAATATTTTTTATGCACTCTATATCATATTTATGCAAGCCGTATATACAAAATTGACCAGGTTGCAAACCAAAGCTATGATAAGCACCTAACAAACCACAACCACCTTCATTGAAACATATGACTACGGATGCTACAGCTATATCAATTATAATAAATTTCCTACAAAGACCTCTTTGGAGCACCGTTTCCATTTTAAACTATACAAAGCTTCATTAACATTATGTGTTACACCAGCAAGACAAGCTTCAAGTAAAGTATCAATGCCTAAATTTTTTATAACTGAAATTATGTTTAATTTCATCTACAATCGCGGCAGGAATATTGACTTTACTTTTATATTGATTATTTTTATTTTCTTTGACAGTCTTGTATTTACACCATGAGTTCAATGGACAATACTTATGACGTTCTTCAGATGAAGCATTTTCTGAACAGTGATGAATTATTGCAGCTATTCAATTTTTCATGTTATATAAGTTTTCTTTATTAGCTCTAATAGTACAACCGTAATAGTTCTGAAAAGTGTTTATGACTTGATTAGTAAGATAATTTTTTCCTGATACTGTTTTTCTGTCAGAAAGAATTTTTTTTTAAGAGAAACTTTTATCGCACGTAAACGTATTTCCATTCTTTTCTGGACATAGCCAACACATTCTTGTTTCTTTATTGTTAATCTAGAATAAGGGTAATTTTTGATAACTTCAAGAAACAATTTATTATTGCCATCACCCAGATAAAATATATATCTAAGTTTTCTTGTAGTAATGGATCTTTGAAAGATTTTTAGTATACCAGCAGTTTCCATTGAACAAGAACTTCCTTTATGATTAATAGAGCAGTTGTGTTATGCTTTCCAACAGTCATATATAGAAGTGCCGTTTTTGGATTTCCAATATTGGCACTATTTACAACTTTTTGTTAATGTCTCAACATCTATACACTTACCGTTTGAAATAGCAGTAACTGCTCCACATAGTTGATTCCACGACGCTGCCATGACCCATCAAAACTTGCAGTAACATTTTTTATAGAAGAACTATCATCTACTGAACATTCTTCTGCTGCTTTTCTCATTGATTTTTCAGAATCTGAAACATAAGATCTGTGGAGTTTTTCATTTATAACGTTGTAACATTTTAAAGACATTGGTTGAGGCATGTTCATACAATAGTTAAAGCGTTTGATAGCTAATTGATCTTTTCCAATAACTTGAAACTTTTTTTGAGGTATAAAACTCGTGCTTCCATGGAAACAGTCACAGAATGGAAACGTACACCAAGTAAGAATAAAAAGATGTGATAATCCTTTTTTTTAATATTATGATTAAAACCTAACTTTCCAAGACATATTGGACACAAACCAACTTTATCGATTATGTCTTTAAAGATTTTAGTGTTAAAAAAAATCATAGTATTTAATACCTTGACTGCAATTTGTATCTAATTCATATTTTATTTTTTTAGCTAATGCAGATATCCTAATTTCGTTTGTTTCTTTTGTTGTAGCTTTGGAGAAACCAGAACTTAACTGGTTTAGAGTGAATCTGTTCCCATTTTCTTTTTCTAGCTTTTGATTTTAGTTTTCTCCTGCTAGTTGAGCCCATTATAAGTAAATAATTTGTTTT